CATTTTGGTCTTTCCAGTATTTTTGGTCCTTCCAACCTTCATTCTATAAATTAAAACTATTGTGATACAACTTTGCTAGTTACAGAGGCAAATTGTCCGTACACAGCATTAAAACTGAAAGCTATGGGCTAATCTGTTCCTATTAAAATACATGGTTGGATGCTTTTAAAGGGCTGTTTCAGACTTCTTGCTCCATCTGCTGGAGCAAGCACAACACAAGCAGTCACATGTTGCAGTATGCAAAGTGGAAATACTAGAAAGTGATGCAACACTGGGATTTCATTTCCCTTTTTCTTCACAGTGAATTTTGAATGCTTAATTATTAACTGCTGGAATTTTGTTCCTAAATACTTTAGTGTTAAATTGTAAAGCATTTTCCTTCAATGTTTCCCTTTTGCTTGACACTGTATACTTGCATACAGGAAATGCAACAGTGGTGTAAAGACCAAGGGGCCAATAGCTGCTAGTGAAATAAAATTAGTGATCATGATGGTAAGGCACACTTAGGGTTCTGCCTCCCTCTACTGGAAATCTTTAGATTATATTTTAGTACAGTATTATGGTGTGTGTAGCATCTTAGCTTGACACCTTCCCATTTTTTTCATGCTATTTGATATATGTGTGTGTATGACTGATAACGTAAAATTCTAAATTGATTTTTCAGCTCACATAGAGAGAATTGCAGCATTCCTTTACCTTGCTCTTTAATCTGTCAGTTGATGATATTACAGGAGGGGAACATGTGGAAATGTCCTTAAAGTATTGACAATGCAGGTAAATAAAGTTGTGTTTAATTAGTGTTTAGTGTTATGAGGGTTTTTTTGGGGGGGCAGTCTGGATGAAACTCTGGGTCTCCTTTCAAACCTTGTGATCTTGTATCTGTGAGGGTAGAATGTGTAATGTTGAAGCTTGCCAAGCCAATTCCGTTGTCAAGGTAATGGCTTTGACTGGCTAGTTAAGTGCCACAATTTAGCATATCCAAAGAAGTTGCTCTGTGCCATAGAACTTATGAGTTGGTCTTTCTTCCACTTCCCCTTACCTACTTGCTATGTAAAAGAACAACAGTGAGAGTTGTGTGCAAGTGCGCTGAAAGCAGGCTGGAAGCTGGATACATAAAGACATGTATTGCTCTTCTGCTGGGGTTTGGAGCTCTCCTGGTAAACTAAAGCAATATCCAGAGGGGGGCGGGTATTTTACACTCAGGTTGTGCCCTGAGTAAGTGCTTGAAACCCTAGAGTCTGTTGCTGCTTGGAGATTAGGGTTTTGTGTTATTTGATATTTGAGAAAATGAATATTTGAGAAAATGAATATGCTTGACTTACATAATGTGAATTACACACAATGATAAATAATAAAATGCTGCTTAATCAGATGCAAATTAGTTATTCTGTATTATTAATGGGAAATTAATTATGAAAAGTAAAAATCATTTAAAAATATAAGCCACACTTGGCAGATGGTGGAGTGTGTATTGGGAATTAAGAAATAGACTTCAAGTAAAAGCTTCATTAGTATTCATTATCTCATCAAGGAACCATCGAAAATGCATTTGTAGAACCTAGAGGGGCCAGTTTGGAGGGGAAGAAGAATTCAAAAACTTTAACTTTGAAGGAACATTTTTATTATTCAATATAGCTGTTCATTTACATAAAAAAGTGAAAGAAAACTATGAGGGGATCTCTGGAAATTGGAAGAGGTACACATAATTCCTTTGTCTATAAAACTTTCAGCTGTCCACCCTTTCCATACTACATTTAAGTCCTGAGAAGGAATGTTTATTATTTAAAATATAGAACAACAGAAACAATGACACATTTGGCTCATTGTCCTCATTTCCCCCACATATATGTATCCTGTTCTCACTTATTAATCTCCACCCTACAATAAATGTGGTATGTGTAATGTGTAAATCCTTGTATATATTTGATGGGTTTTAAAGGAGTATAATATATGGCACTCCCCACCCCCCCCAGATATTATGGACTCCAACTCCCATCGACTGTAAACACCATGGACTATGGTAAAGGGTTATTTATTATTTTATGTATTATTACATTTATATCCTGTCTTTCATCCAAAAAGTTCAAGGTGGCTGACACAATTTCTTCTCCTCTCCATTTTATCCTCACAACAACCCTGTGAGGCAAGTTAGGCTGAGAAATTGTAACTATGGGTTTGTGGAAGTTGTAGTACAGCAACATAGGGAGGACACCTTGTTGGCTATACCTGGTCTATAGGCTGGAAGGATCATTCTCCAAATATATAATTGGGGACCATATATTTACAGATTATATCTCTTCAACTGACTGCTTATGAAACCGTAACTGTCTCATATACAATGGAACCTTGGTTGCCAAATGCAGTGGCGTAGCGTGGGTTGTCAGCACCCGGGGCAAGGCAAGTAATTTGCGCCCCCTAACCCGTGCATATGCGCCCCCTAACCCGTGGATTTGCGCCCCCTAACCTGTGGATTTGCCCTAACCCCAGATGTTGCGCCCGGTGCGGCCGGCCCCCCCTGCACCCCCCACGCTACGCCACTGGCCAAATGTAATCCGTTCCGGAAGAAAGACCATTTGACTTTCGAAATGTTCGACAACTAAGGATCAATGGGCTGGCTGCAAAGTCAATGGGGAAAAAATGAAAAATGCACCCCAGAAGCCATTTGACTTCCAAGGCACGTTTGAAAACAGAAGCAATTACTTCCGGGTTTTTGGCGTTCAGGTTCCGAATTGTTTGTCTTCCGAGACGCTCGAAACACACACACACACACACACACACACTATATATATATATATATATATATATAATGAAGAGATGGAGAGGGGGGAGATAAAGGGGAGGGGGAGATAAAGGGGAGGGGGAATGCTACAAGCAGACAGAAACATGGGAGAAAGGAACTCAGAAAGAACATTATTAATATTTATTTATTTAGCACCATTATCAGTCTTTGGCTGATTAACATCCTATACTCCTTTAAAGATGTTTGTGAAAGTGGGTTGGGGGTGAAGTGTTAATGATTTCTTTTGTTGTTATTTTTATTGTGGATTTTGTGTTTTCAGCTTGTGTTTTTATGCTGTGAACCACCCTGATATCTACAAGTGAAGGGCAATATACACATTTAAAATGAAATAATGTACATGGTACTTTACAAAGAATGCGAGTCTGTACTCAAAGGGGCTCACAATATTGAAAAAAGATGCATGTGAGACTACAGAGGAAGTGGGAAATGAAGGCAGACGAAGACAGGGGAATACTACTTCAGTTACTTAGGGTGCTGTTCCCAGATGTGAACAATTGAGCAACAACCAATAATTGCTATTTAGCTTTAAGCAGAAAGTGGAGAAGCATTTCTGCTTCTAGAAATCTCTTTAGTCAACTGAATAGTCCTCCTCTTTCCCAGACCCCCCTCCAAGTGTGTGTGTGTGTGTGTGTGTTTTGTGGTATTTGTTTTGGAACCAATGTGAGGGAAAGGGTTATACGCTTCCTAAAAAGCTTGTCTGTAAAGCTTATGGGTGTTTTTTTTTGGTAAGTAAATCACTCTTTAAAAGCAACATTTTCAATTTCTGCACCTGGGTTTGGATTTCTAAGGTCATCTTAGTTTCCCAATCTTGTAACTGACCAAGGAAGACATGTCTAAGCAAGCTCAGACCACATGTTTGACGCTATCTTTCTGTATATTCTGCCTGTGTTCTCCTTGCTGCTTAGATAAATGCATGAACCTGACCTTTGGAATGTTTTGTAAGTAAAGAATTTTAAACTTAACAATGTGTGATCTGTTCATTGCAAGAGAGGCAGAAAGAGGGGAGTGTTTATGCAACTAAGTGGGATAAAAGGGTCTAACAACCTATATTTCCATGTTCTAATACTGCTAAACTTTTGAGAGTTTAAACTGTGCTACTGGTGGCTCTCTTCTGCTGGACAGTGAGTTTAGCCCGCATTTTGAATCCAGGCACCTATCCAATTCTTTTGTTATTTTACCCCCCCACACACACACATTGGTCAAACGGTTCATATTTACCCCCACAATATGGCCACTTCCTAAGTTTGTGCATGCTAAGGAGTGAGAATTGCTCATGGTAATAATAATTTACCTAGTTGCTTCTAGATATTTTCCTAGTGTGAGCATCAGTTTCACTAAAGTAAAGGTAAAGGGACCCCTGACTATTAGGTCCAGTCGTGACCGACTCTGGGGTTGCAGCGCTCATCTCGCTTTATTGGCCAGCATGACTAAGCCGCTTCTGGCGAACCAGAGCAGCGCACGGAAACGCCGTTTACCTTCCCGCCGGAGCGGTACCTATTTATCTACATGCACTTTGACGTGCTTTCGAACTGCTAGGTTGGCAGGAGCAGGGACCGAGCAACGGGTGCTCACCCCATTGCGGGGATTCGAACCACCAACCTTCTGATCGGCAAGTCCTAGGCTCTGTGGTTTAACCCACAGCGCCACCCGCGTCCCTCAGTTTCACTACACCTCCAGAAATTAATCAGAAAAAATTAGCTGAACAAACTCAACAGGATAAGCACTATTGGCTACATGAGAATGTTTTTCTCCTGCATCAGCATTAATCTAGCAATGACTTTGGTATTTCAGTGCATCAGCAATTCAGCTAGGCTCCTCCTGTGACTCATCAAACTGAATCTTGGACCCATGCCAACCTATCACTTTTATCCTTAGCCACTCCTGTTTCCATAACAACAAAAAATTGAAATCAAAACTTGGCAACATAACAGAGGTAAAGTCATTAAACAGCTAATTCACTTACAGCTAAAACTGAACTATAAACTGTACTTGCTAAATCTACATAATAGATCAAAACATGTCTGAGAGACCTTTACATTATCAGTTATTAAAGCTCTTTGATTACTTTGGCCACTCACTGACACTGTGGTTATCAGCTCAAGGCCACCATCTCAGATATCTAATCCAATTCTCTCTTAGTCTTTACATAGATTTTGGTCCAACAGCAGGCACAGAAATTTTGTCCAGAAATGGTTAATTAATAGCTTACACGGGTTACTTAAGTACAGTTAAGTGAATAGGTGTTCCTGCTGAATATAAAAAGTGGCCCTTTGTCGTCTTCTATATCAGTCTCGGGCTTCAGTGTAAACCATTGTTTCATACTTGACATTTCACTATAATTGTCTGAAATGGTTTCATTGCTTTTGATATGGGGAATAGTGGTGATTGTGTGCTTAATGCTATGGCTTGTTCTGGGAATAAGGAGGAGGTAAGAAGGATTGTTTTCATACATTATTTCATGAAGTTTTCTTCTCTGTTTAAAATCACAATACATTAGCATTTGTGTTTGTTAATTAAAATTAATGATATATATTTTCATATATTAGTAATGTGTATAATTATATAACATATGTATAATTTTATAAAATTAGTATGTTTAAGAAAAACAGTCTGGTTTAGTGGTATCTAGTTTATTTATTTATTTAATGATTCACTTTTTATGTGTACATGCTTTCCAAAAAAGGTGAGATGCTCCCAATTACTTAGATTAGGCACATAATAAATATAAAGAAAAGGAACAAATGCATGCAACATATCTGTGTCAGCTAATTAATTATGTGAATTGGAATAAAGAGTGTCTAATTTATCAGAAGTGGCTAGCACTGTTGTTTGTTTGGTCTGCATAATGTAAACAGGATGCTTAATGACTTTTCCTACATTGTCATTATACTGTTTCTGTTGTTTGCTCGTTAGATTAAAGAGAGAGAGAGATGAATGTTATCTGTGTGTGCTTTCTATTGAACGATAAGAAGTTGTACTACTAAAATGTAATCTGTAGCAGACATCCAAATGGAGGAATATATCCAAAGACATAGCAATTCAGCATCTGCTTTCCGTTCCTTGCCCCAAATTACAACCTTGGTTCAAATATGAAGCTCTAAGTGTGAAAGAAGCCAACAATAATTCATTTATCTTTCTTTGATGGGTTCAGATTATTTGATTGCCCATGAGATTAATGATCAGTAACGTTCCACAATACTGCATTAAATTTTCCCTACTTGCTGTTTTACATGTGCATTACTATTGATGACTGGATGTGGGAGAGAACACATCTGTGTAGGCTTCTAAAGATTCAACCAGGTTGTTCAAGGAGGCTTGAATTAGCAATAAAATGTGAATGTGGACATGTGCATTGGCTATACATGCAAGCAGCTGCTTTTGCACGAGAATCTTCGCTCTGAAATCAGAGCAGTAGTTGAGTAGTAGATATGCAGAACAGTCAACACAGTTAAAGCTGGCAGGCTTGATTTCTACACAGACGCACACACAGCAGCAATACTAGTAGATCTATTGTTCCAAAGAGCAAACAAGACAGAGCACTCAAACCAAACAGATATTGCATCTATTGCAGCAAACCAGCTGCCAAGTCTGGGCTTAGCAGACTCTCAGAGGTGGCTTCTTTCACATAGAAAATAAATTTTAAAATACATATTTATATCTCAACTCTGCCCAACACACATGCGTGCTCTGTAATATTCATTTGGTAATAAAACTTATCCAGGTAAACATATTTTGCCATGAACTACAATTTGTATTTAAAATAAAAAGACACACCAACCAAGAGTAAACAAGGTAGAAGTGATATGTTTAAAAGCAAAGGTAAATTTCATCAAATTTGATTTACAGTGTGTCTGATGCATTCTCATTATCAGGGCTATAACAAGCTTCTGTATTGTACCAAACTCATTATTTGCCAGTTATCTACTGCCTTCTTAGTGCATTTATTACTCAGAGGAGGGCAATTCCTTCTAGCAGTGATGGATGTGTGTAATAAATAGATTCTTGCGCAGCAGATTTGAAGGTCGTATATTAATTTACAGCCATAATCTTCACCTTGTATATATTGCCTTTTGCAGACGTCCAAGTGAGCCACCCTTGGAGAATGGGCTACTGCCATATCTTGGCTGTGCTTTGCAGTTTGGCGCTAATCCTCTCAACTTCCTCAGGACAAGACAAAAAAAATATGGTCCCATTTTTACTTGCAAATTGGCTGGAAAATATTTTCATTTTCTCACTGACCCCTTTTCATATCATACAGTGATGGGACATGGAAGACACCTGGACTGGAAAAAGTTCCATTTTGCAATCTCTGCAAAGGTAGCATTTAACTTTACCTGTTAAAAATATTCATGGTCTATCCTTCATCTATACAGACACCAGAACTATGGAATATGAAATAAAAGCAGCAGCAACAAAATACAGTATGTACAAAAATAGACTACAGTGGTACCTTGGGTTAAGTACTTAATTTGTTCCGGATGTCCGTTCTTAACCTGAAACTGTTCTTAACTTGAAGCACCACTTTAGCTAATGGGGCCTCCCGCTGCTGCTGCACTGCCACAGCACGATTTCTGTTCTCATCCTGAAGCAAAGTTCTTAACCTGAAGTACTATTTCTGAGTTAGCGGAGTCTGTAACCTGAGGCATATGTAACCTGAAGCATATGTAACCTGAGGTACCACTGTATTGGGCATCTTAAAACAACCGAGCAAGCTAAACAAATATCAGCTTACTGAACTTAAAATGCCCCAAGAAGGGAGAAATACCCAATATAAAAACTGTGCCACCAAACAGCAAATTTGAGCTGACATTACAAGTGAGACATAGTTTGCATCACAGGCCAAACTGGGGCACTTGCTGGGCCAAATTTGGCCTAGGGCCCAGAGGTTCCCCACCCACCAGATTGAAATTGACTCTTACTTGAAATGGTCTTTACTCAGACTAGTAACAGTGCAGGCTTGGCAGCAAGCCCAAGCTCCAGAAGTCAAGTTTCCAAGATACACGAGCGAGACCAGAAGTTCATAACTGAATGGAAGCTATGAATGTGCCCTGACAGTTGAAGTGCTCCTCCCACCAACTTTTAAAGATCTGGAGTGAGCTCTCTCACAAGACTATCTCACACTATGATGCTACCACGTCTGTACATGGATGCTCCATCTGTGCAGATGTGCCTGATCCCACCTATGATAGTGGCACCTGGTTATTGGAGACAAGACTGTGTCCTGCCCCTCTGTCTCCAGCTTCAATGTCACCTTGCTCTGATCAGCCTCTGTCTCTGACTGGTCAAATCTTCCCAGCTCCCTGCTGAGGCTCTGTGCTCCATGAGAGGGATGGTGGAGAGAGCCAGCCGATCTTCTACCTCTTCTTTTTCATGTGGAGTCATGTTAGCTGTCCAGCCCTCCCTCCTCCCCATCTGTTCCTCTGTGTTCCTCCTTCTCCTCTTGTTTCTGGGGCTGCCAAACCATGCCAGATCCTAATGGAGCTAAGGGAGATCCTTCTTACCTTTTTAAAGTGCAATTGGAAATGGAGCCCAAGGTTCTCATTAAGTTGTAATTAGTTTCCCTTAATATCCGTATCTCAATAATATAACTGTCTCGACAATGAGCCTTAAATCCTTCCTTAATGTACATGAAAATTGATTTTAAGTACATATTTAAATGAATCAATATTGGTCCATTTAAGAAAATTAAGCTGCAGTCTTTGTGCACTTACTTGGCAGTAAGCAAGCCCCATTTAAATTCCTAGGCTTTACTCATGAGTAACATGTATAGGATTGTGACCCACAGATTGCTGGAATAGATATTAGTTTACGATATAGTTGCTATGAATTGATTTGTTTTGATGTCTAGGTAAATTTTATTTTAATTTGAAGTAAACGAATACATATTGGCAGCAACAATGCACAGATTAACGTTTCACCAGATCAGTCTTACCATGACCTAAATCTGATTGATTCAGACTCCATTTCCATCCACGCTGGAGCTAGATTAAGGCCCAATGAGTCCAGTAGGGCTTTCTTCAAAGTAAGCATGGAAAAGAGGGTGCCCTCAGTGGTACTTATTTCCAGTCAAGTATGCTCTGGATTACTGGTTCAGTGTCCAAGCCTTGTCTATTGTCTTTTATGAAATTTGGAATGTTATTATGAAGGCTGAAGTACATTTCTACAGGGTGTGTGTGTGTGTGTGTGTGTGTGTACATTGCTCAGTATTGGAAACAGCAAGTTTGGACGGTTAATTGGCTTCACTGTCCTCTGTAAAACATAAACCGTCTTCACCAGACAGCTATTAAGATGATGGATTTCGTAATCTGGAAGAAAAGATTTAGAATTACTCTCAAATTTAGTACTTAATATCATTTTGCCATCCTCCTTGGCAAAACTACAGCCTGTTCCAACTCCTCTTAGAGACACTTACAAAGCCTTAAATGGATACTGGATAGGGGTTCTAAGTGGTCATACTTTATCTGCCAACATCCATCAGCATCCATGTTTAATGACTGCTATTCCTGTACTAAATTATGGAGAAAATATTTTGCCTCTGATTTCACTTGTAAATTATTCTTCACTTAGGGCAGCATCTAAAGCGCTGTAGGCAGTTTTCTGCTTAGACACAGAAGCTTTTCAGCTGTATCTCAGGATGCAGCTTCCCAACAAAGGCCCTCAGAGTTGGAATGCTTTTCATAAATGGTACCCTATGAGATGCAAAGGACTGTGCCTGCCTGCCTGAATAACTATTTTGCTCTCACATGCCAGCAGGCAGTGGTGTGGGCAGGGGGACGGGATCAGATAAATAATAAATTGTGATGGGTGGCACTTAACATTCCCCATTTTTTCACAACAGGCATTTGGACATGGTAGTATTGACCCAGATGATGGAAACACCACTGAGAATATACACCAGACCTTCACCAGAAACCTGCAGGGTAATGCCTTAACCTTTCTCGCTGAGTCCATGATGGAAAACCTGCACTATGTCATGGTAGAACCAAATGCATCGAGAATTGACTCCAGTGACTGGGTAACTGATAAACTTTATGAATTCTGCTGCCGTGTGATGTTTGAAGCTGGGTTTCTAACACTGTTTGGCACAGATTTTAACCCAGTGGGCCATGACAAGGGCCTTTCTGCCAACCAAGAAGCCCACAGAGCATTTATCCTCCGTACCCTGGAGAACTTCAAGGCATTTGACCAAGTCTTTCCGGCCCTTGTGGCAGGCCTACCAATCCACCTGTTCAAAAGTGCCCACAGTGCACGAGAGAAGCTGGCTGATGCTCTGCTCCACAAGACCCTTAAAAAAAGACACAACATCTCTGAGCTCATTTCCCTCCGCATGTTCTTCAATGATACTCTCTCCACTTTTGATGAAAAGGAAAAAGCAAAGACCCACCTTGCAGTTCTGTGGGCTTCACAGTCTAACACAATACCTGCAACCTTTTGGACTTCATTCTATCTTATTAGGTAAGTAGCTACATTTCCCATGCTACAGACTTTGGCTTACCATTTACCAGATGGAAAGTAACATGGTGGACATGCCGCCACTAATGCGCTGCATTTCCCCGCACTGGTGATGTACAGTGCAAGCCTAATGATGTCTACTCAAAAGTAAGTCCTATTGAATTCAATGGGGCTTACTCCCAGGTGAGTGGGATGAAGACTGCAGCTTTATTTCTTTTGTTCTTTTTACCTCTCCCTCTGCTATCCCAGAGTTGTCCTTAGTTATGGATTCTGGGGACAAACAAATACAGTGGTACCTCAGGTTAAGAACTTAATTCGTTCCGGAGGTCTGTTCTTAACCTGAAACTGTTCTTAACCTGAGGTACCACTTTAGCTCATGGGGCCTCCCGTTGCCACCACACGATTTCTGTTCTCATCCTGAAGCAAAGTTCTGAGGTACTATTTCTGCGTTAGTGGAGTCTGTAACCTGAAGCGTCTATAACCCGAGGTCCAACTGTAATTGAAGATGGCTATTGCCCTGATGTCCTGGTTGTATATTTCCCAGGAGTGGGGATAGGCATGAGGGTTCGGCCAAAAGCAAGTTACTTAGGTAGGTGTTACATGTTTGGAGGGTGTGGTTCAAAGTGGTCATTTCATACTGAGTTGGTATGAAAGACAACATTCAGTGCTAGGACCACGGTACCTAGAGCAGCCAATCCCAGCTTGGATCTCTCAAAGCCTCCAAGAAACAACTAGATGATCATGCCATCCTTGATAATTCAGGCCTGCCTGCAACTCTCCCCTGCTTTTGGATGCACCTGCAGACAATGACTCACACTTTCTTTTTCTTGCACTAATTGCATGGACTAGATTATAGTGATAATTGTACTATGATTTCAGTATTCCTTTTTTTTTTAATTTCAGGAATCCAAAAGCAATGGAAGCAGCTATTAAAGAGGTGCAAAGGGTGTTAGAAAATGCTGAAATAAAGATAGACTCGACCAGGAAACCTATTTCTTTGAACCGGAAACAGCTGGATGACATGCCTGTATTAGGTATAGTTGCTTAACCTGAATCCTCCTCTTTTACATACTAACGGTAAAATAACATATGCCAATATTTAGGAACCATTATATGATTGAAAGTGATCAGTTCTCTATGCTCTTAGTTGCAGTCACGTTATCCTAAATATGTGACAACAATCAGTTTCTTTCTAACTACAATAGTGTTTGGTGGAAGCATACAAATTCCAAGGAATTTTGTTGTTCTCCCCAATGACTTTCTTTTATTTGTGTCCATCACATTACTTTGAATTTTGCAATCTGAGCAGCAGCACACCTGTGTATACTGTATCTAGGTTGAAGGTTCCTCTTTCTTTCCTACACAGATAGTGTCATCAAGGAAGCAATAAGGCTCTCCAGTGCATCTATGACAGTCAGAGTTGCTAAGGAAGATTTCGTTTTGCAATTAGGCAGCAACTCCTACAATATCCGCAAAGATGACACCATAGCTCTTTATCCCCAGCTGTTGCATTTTGATCCAGAAATCTACTCTGATCCCCTGGTGAGTAATTGACAGCTTCAAAACAAAGCTGTGCACATCAGCAGAAGTGCCTTAGTGCTTGCAGCCAACTGCTTGACATCAATATTGTTGCCTCTTATTGCACACAAGTGCTGTTTTTTTACTAGGTGAATTCCAGAACTCTTTAAAAGAGGCATTCTGGAGTGAAGCAGGGAAGGAACATTTAGCAGCAGCAGTTGTATGCTAAACAAGCAGAAACTTCGGTAAAAAAATTATGATTAAAAATGTTCCCTCTCCTTTTCCAATTTCATGAGCACAAAAGAGTTGATTAATACTTTAATAATTACAGAACTGCTAGCTGTAATTTATTTTGTATTTCAATAATTAACTGAGATGAATTTATTTTATCTTTATTGAAAAAGAATGGTAGAACATTTGGCAACTCAAGCTTTTGGAGGAACTCGTATACAAATCCAATTTAAAGTATTAAGGAAGATGAACACACATTAATATTTCATTTGCAAATCTGAAATAATCCTATGCTTCCTAAATGATGTTGAGTTTAAAACTGCATTATTTTGGACTTTTTTTTTGCAGACATACAAGTATGACCGCTATCTTGAGGAAAATGGAAAGGAAAAGACCACTTTTTACCACAATGGTCGCAAATTAAAATATTATTATATGCCTTTTGGAATGGGACTTGCAAAATGTCCTGGAAGATTACTGGCCGTTCATGAAATTAAACAATTTTTGACTTTATTGCTATCTTATTTTGAAGTGGAGCTTCTTGACAAGAATGTGACATGCCCGTCTTTAGACCAATCGCGGGTCGGACTTGGTGTTTTACAACCTGCAAGTGACATTGATTTCAAGTACAGATTAAAATGCCTATGAATGTGTGGAAGAAAAATGTTTTTTGTGTATTTGGTCCCCACAGGGGTAAAAAATTTCATGCAATAATGGCAATGGAATGCATTAGGAGGAATAATGAGGGCTGGGAGAAACTATGACTGTTGCTTAATATGGTTTGTATAGAAAATGTTTCCTTTTTTTATAGGCTCAAAAATAACAAGAAATACTATACATATCTACTCTATGTGCTACTGCTGGGTCTCCAGTGGAGCTTTTGAGTCATAGTAGGGGTGTCAATGTGAGGAATGTGTGTTCGGAGAACACAGTTTTGTGCTGGCTAGTAAGCACAAGAGAGATGGAAGAGACCAGCAAATCCACCTGTATATCTCGCTACTGATTTTGAGGCCTGTGATTTTTGTCAGGATTGAGAAGGGGAGAGAAAAAGCATCTGGGCCTTATTGACACCATCTTTTTATTTTGTGTTTGCTTTTTTGTCCAGTTGCTTCTATAGACAAGGGGTGAGATGCTTCTTGCTGTGGATACCTGTAGGCAACCATTCATAAGTATTAAAAAATACTGCTCAGGATGAGAGCCTGAATGGATTGCAGAATAGGGATGAAAGGTCTTAAGTTGCTCAAAAGTCCCAGCATGAGTCTGTTGTCACAGAGTGGAGCCCTCCTTGCGTGAGAGGCAGAGGGGGAGTGAGTGGGCTGCAACAGGTGAAAAATGGGGTGGGAACTGTTGCTTAAACCAATGGTTGTTTAATCTGTTTGAATGTTCTGTGTTGTTGTTTTTTACCATAGGTATTTGGTTAAATATATGTATGTATGTATTGCAAGTAAGTAAATAAGTGACCAAGCTTCTGAGCTGACGGAGAGGTTACTTTATCTCTTTCTGTAGAAGCTGGTTGCATAATGCCGCAAACAAAACTTGCAGACAAACAGACAAAGAGGGGTTATGATTTAGCGTCATCAGGGCAGCTGGTACAAAACTTGTCCTGATCTTTGGAAGAGGATAAAATGCTTATGCAGGCAGGGATGGTGCTTATTTAAGGCTACTATATGCTGGCATTAGAGATTCTTAAATGTATCATGTTCCAACCTTCACATTTCTCCAAATGAGGTGTGTATGTGTGCATTGTTTATTTCTGTTCATTACATTTTCTTCAATAAAATATCTCAATCACTTTTCAAAGGTGTCTGATCAATCTTATGGAATATATAAGCAAGCAAATAAATAAATAACTCAGCCATGGGGATGCAAATAATGATCTTGGGCAAAACTCAGAAAAAGCGCTATCCTTGCTCATGAGCAAACAGCTGGTGGGATGTTTTGCTTATAATCATGTAGCAGAGAACAAAAAACAGGGTGCTTACAAAATACCATATTTTTGGCTGGGATTCAACCACATACTGGCAAATTCAGGCTGTGCAATTAAAGTTGATTTTGAGGTATCGCACAACAAATCCTCTTCTCTCAAAAAATTGTTTTTTTGCGATAAGGAAAGTGATGAGAAAAAGCACTGGAAAGTGTGGGATAACAGTTCCTTGATGCACTGTAACCAGATGAAATGCTCAATAAATAGGCTTACTATTTATGGGATGGAGATGGAGATGAGATGGAGAACAAATCTGACTCAGTTTGTATTTAAAGGCAAATCTACCTAATTCGCAATTTTCAAAACATGATTATGATCCAAAACACAGTCTTCCTCCAAAACTGTCACTCTCCAAATGGCTTGTAAAATGTGTATATTTGTCAAAACCACATACAAAAATGTCTTTATTAAACTTATGAGTTTAATAAAGACATTGCAGTGAAATGATTAATTTTCATTAAAGCTGCTCGGCTGGTGGCAATGGCCACTGTGTTTCAAAGCACAGAAACAGGAATTTAAAACTGGCAAAGCGAGAAAGCCAGCAAACCGAAATTGCCCATCTGCAAGTGACCTTAGATATTGTATATTACAAGAAACTGAGCACGCTATTACAGCAAAATATTTTAAAAATATGTACCATGTTCTCTCCCTGGAGCATAGATGTCAATGTTTCCCTTTTTTAAAGGGAAACTCCCTTATTCCAAATAGGATTCCTCGCAAGAAAAGGGAAAAGTTAACAGCTATGCCCTAGAGTACCAATAGACAATAGTAACCCCACTCTGGCTAATTCCCATCTGGCACCTGACCCTTTCATCATTAAAGTCAACAGAACTACACCAGTTTGCCTAATATGAAGAACGGAACCCTCCTGTTTACTTAACCTGCAATAACTTCAGTTTACAAGGCTCTTCTGTCCAAATTACCCGAGAACATACAAAGGATTTTTCAGTGCAATTCATGAAAAGAAGACCAACAGTGTCAAATTCATCTTTTAACTTATGAAGTAGCAGCATAGGCCATAATAATCTGCTTATTAATTACTGATACATGGATGTTTCCTAAGTTCAACTGGACACTGACTTCCCCAGTTGCAATTGGAAGGAAAATTCCCAAGCCTTGTATGTGGGTTATGTTTCTTATTTCCAGGCATTCCCAAGCCAATGCTTCTGGGAAACACAGAAGCAGGATTGTATTTATTTCTCATTTTTCTGAGAGCCCTCTCATTTTTGCCCCCTACCACCTGATATTCAAAAGGCACTAGTGAAAAGGTACTGTTGTAGTGTCCTGTTCAGGGCTACAGCCAGCAAACCTCACCCACTTCCAGAATACTCCATTACATCCCTCCTCCTCCTCTTCAATTTTTCCCCAGTCAGTCAGCATTCCATGTACATGGACCATGATCTGTCCTCAATAAGCTGGTTTTGGTCTCTTCCCCTGCTCCACTTGAGTTTTCCACCCTGAGGTGTTATTTTGGGCTTCTGCAAACCTTGGGGCTCCACCCCACCTCCAAAGCCTCCTGGTACCTCCATCTTGTGTGCAGATGGTGCCATTTTGTGTGCATAATACATTCACTGTCTGTTTATAGGAGAAGTGCCTCAGAACTTGCAAGCTCTGCTTAGCTAATTAATAACAATCACCACTTGGCAAACATTGGAGGAGAGCTATCACTTCCTTGTGGACTTCCTTCAAACCTCTGGCAGGCCACATTAACTAGATAACAGGAGCATTAACTAGATAAGCCAGGGGTGGTCAGATTTAGCAAAGCCACAGGGAGCACCCAGTTTGCCCTGTAGCTCAGTTACTGCACATGTCCTACAACTATGTGTTGCTCTCTGAGCAATGAATTGCGAAGGGACCAGGAAAAGCTACACTGGCTGAACTGCCTCCCACAGCAGTACAAAACTGTCTACCACAAAAGTATACAAAACCTTTACTATAACTAATGCAAGCATATACCACTAGTTAGCTATTAACTCTGGGAAAGAAACAGAAAGCTCCATCCATGGGTGTTGTTGTTGTTGTTTAGTTGTTTAGTCGTGTCCGACTCTTTGTAATTGGGATTAAATCTAAATTTAGATTTCCTGGGAAACATCACAACCATTTTTGATGAGGGTCAGCTCTGTCACCTGGCCTTGAGTTTTGATTGGCTAGAGACCTCCTCATAGAATCGCAGAACTGTAGAGTTGGAAAAAAACACAAGGGTCATCTAGTCCAATTCCCTGCAGTGCAGGAATCTTTTGCCCTATGTGGGGCTCGAACCCACAACTGTAAGAGTCCCATGTTCTAATGCTCCACCAACTCTGCTGTCTCATGACCTTCCTGAGACCACGCAGTGGGGAACTTAGGTGCTCTGGACCTCTGTGCAGTGAGGAGGAGCGCAATCCATGCAACCCCCTGTGGACTTCAGCACAGTAAACAGGCTACAAGAACTGCCTCAGAGCACACACAGTGTGAAAACTTGGAACATGCCTTTTGCAAGTTTGTTCTATGCAGGTGTTCTATCAAGCAGTCTTTATCTGAATGCAAACACTACATGGCAAGTATGACTAGCAAACATTAAAGCCATCTCTGGGCTCATTGCTTCTTCAAGAGAACTGGGACATACAGTATGCAAACATTTTCCAGGAAAAATCTGAACTCAGGAAACACTGAATGTACTGCCTTTTTACAGCGTCTGAATGGCGTGTGCCCAGGTAACTTTTGAAATGTCCTGTGGTGGAAAGGTTAAAGCACCCTACCTTGCTTTATTTTGATCAGCAATGGGAACCTCCACCCCACACACTAAATTAGGCCTGGCACTGGGCTGCAGCATTCTGCACTAACTGGGGTCAAGGGAAAGGGAAGCCCCACACATAGTGCATTACAATAATCCAACCTTGAAGTCCCCAGTGCCTGAACTAAAGGGGTCAGCCTCTCCCATCCCAGGAACAATTTGTAGTACATGTAGACCCAGTACATTTTTCCTGCTCTTCCTATATGGCAGGGGTGGGGAACCTCAGGCCTCAGGGACATACATGACCCTCCAGGACTCTCTAGCCAGCTCATGGGACTCACTGCAGACCCTCTCCCACTCAGGCCACACGACACTGCTGGCCCTGCTTCACACCTTCCTTGTGTGTTTTGCTTGGCTAGGTTATGCTCTTGAGCTGTGATAATGCCTTTTGCTTGCCTGGATGGAGAGATGATGTGCTGAAACCTCTGACTTTAGGATGACCAGAATAAAAGCTACTGCTCCACCCACTTTTGCCTCTGACCTTGCCTACCTATGCAGCTCCCAGAAGGTTCCCCAGGAGGGGCTGTGGGCCTTTGGCTGAAAACGATTCCACACCCTGTCACAGACTTTGTATCAAATGCAGGGCCGGCCCACTTAGGAGGCAAGGTGAGGCGACCATCTCAGGCGGCAGAATCCACAGGGGCAGCAGATCCCGATGTAGATCTTTCCCTGCTTGTTCCTGGTGTATTTTCCCTCAACCCTTCTTCCCTGGTGGGGAGGGGGGCACTATTTTGTGGTCTGCCTCAGGCGCCAAAATGTATTGGGCTGCCCCTGTCCAAATAATTTGCTCCATTCCAACAGCTTACTGTTCTTACATTCTCCTTTAAAACCAAGTACTCTAGCTTTGGGACACGGGTGGCGCTGTGGGTTAAACCACAGAGCTTAGGACTTGCCGATTAGAAGGTCGGCGGTTCGAATCCCCGCGACAGGGTGAGTTCCCGTTGCTCGGTCCCTGCTCCTGCCCACCTAGCAGTTCGAAAGCATGTCAAAGTGCAAGTAGATAAATAGGTACTGCTCCGGCGGAAGGTAAACGGCATTTCCGTGCGCTGCTCTGGTTCACTAGAAGCAGCTTAGTCATGCTGGCCACATGACCCTGAAGCTGTACGCTGGCTCCCTCAGCCAATAAAGCAAGATGAGTGCCGCAACCCCAGAGTCGGTCACAACTGGACCTAAAGGTCAGGGGTCCCTTTACCTTTACCCTAGCTTTCTTTGTCATTTCACATCACGGGTTCAGTTGCACATTGGTTCTCGAATTTAATCCATTCCGGGAGTCCGTTCGACTCCCAAAACAGTGCGAAAACCAAGGCACAGGAATTTCCTGTAGCCAATCAGAAGCCGCATAAGCCACGTCGGATGTTCAGCTTCCAAAAAACGTTCACAAACCGGAACATTCACTTCCGGGTTTGCGACGTTTGGGAGCCAATTTGTTTGACAACTGAGGCGTTTGACTACCAAGGTACGGCTGTACATTTAACACCCTGTCCCCTACACCACCCTAACTCGGGCTCAAACTACACATGCTTTTAACCTGAATCTATTGCAATGACATAGGCACCCCAATTTAAAGAGCAGAAAGGGGGGTTGTGGGTGAAATGTGTGGAACACTCTCCTTGCTTGCTGCTTAAGCCTCTGCAGCTCCTCTGCCTATGTACTTTTATCCCAGATTTATTCACTTCTGGGATCAGACATGTGAGGCCTCAGGTGAGGAAGGCCCCATTGCTTTTTCTCCCAACTCTGCTTTCTATCTGCCACCGTGTCATATGTAGTTTGAGCCTCAGGCTATCAACATCAGCTTTACAGAAGAACACGTATTTTACAATATACCAGATAATGTGTATTGTCAGTAGCTAGCTGATAAGCAGTCAGCCTTGAGTATAAACAGTCAGCCTTGAAAATATAGCCTTGACTAGC